TCCATGTTAACTACAAATTAGAACAATTTTACAACAAATTTGATTCATTAAAGAGAAAGAGAAAAATATGTTATTAATATTTTATCATCATCAAAACTTTAAAAAAGTAACATAAATGAATAACAATCCTTACTATAATAATTGATAAAAATTTAAATTGGAAGAGTTTTCTTTGTTCAATATCCCCAAATTTGTGACCAAACGGTGTCGTATTATACCCCACAGCCAAAACGTCAGCGTTTAAGTTAGAATGATGACCAATCATCAAATTTTTCTTTTTCTTAGCCCCAAAATACCAAATTTCTCTCTCAAAATCTGTGCTTTTCGCGTGAACCAAGCGCATCGCTCTTTTTCTCTCTCTCAAAATCGCTGAATTTCTCGCTATTTCCATCACCGAATAATCGATCTAACCCTTCTTTTTTGTTTCGATCCGCTACTCCTCACGCTTCAATTTCTAGGGTTTTGACCAACCCAATTGTTACGAATCTAGGGTTTCGAATTTCTTATTCTTCTTCGATTGGGAATTGATGTTTCTTTTCAGGAGCTATGATGGAGGATTATGCATGGGATCGGTGGTGAAGAGTGGAAACAGAGTCGGCACATGTGGCCTGTACCTTCTAACGCGACCACTGTAGTCTTCGATTCTCAATTTTTATGCAAAGTATATTTCATCACTAATCAATCTATTCAATCTTTTTCTTACCACTTTTGTCATCGTTTTCCATGTTTGTAATGCGTAAATTATCGTTTTTTGTTTCAATCTTTTTGTTAATTTAATTTTTTATGTTTATCCGAATTTTTTGTCGATGTTTAGGTTTTTAATTTATTTTTGAGGTTTCAGCTGTTTTTTTAATAAGAAAACCTAAAATTTAATTGAAACGACAAAATTTAGCATGTTTTTTTTTTTAAAAAAAAATTGATCTACTTTTGTTTCAACATGAGGTGATTTGCTGTGCCTGGGTATTGATTTTGTCCTTTTTATGTAGATTTTCTTTTAATGTATGTTTTCCTAGATCTTAATCTACGTGTGAACTTGTGAAGTGTGTTATTTTATATGATTTGTTTTCCTAATTTTTTTTGAATTATTACTGATTTGGACTTTATTTATATGGGATGCGTATGACATTATATAATTTTCTCTCAATGTTTCAGGATTTTTGGTTCCTGTGACATGCTCTTCTTTAGATGTTGTTTGGGTTTTGTGGTTTTGCATCAGTAAAATGTTTAACAAAATTTAAGAGAAAGCTAGAATAGGTTTTCCTCGTGATGATTTTGACAAGATTTGTTATTGTTGATATGGGAGAGCAACGGTTCTTACTGATTTGTTACCTTTTTTGGAGTATATTGTGTTTTGATTGTTTGCTATATTGTCCCCCGGTTTTCCTGTTAACACAGTTTTGGTGATGGTCATGGTTTCAGCTTTAACTCTGTTTTTCTTTTAACCATTGCTTTATTACTGAAGGAATTGATAAGTTTTGAACTGGAGTAGTTGTGTATAGTGGTTTTGTTTTAACCATTGTTTTATTTCCCTTTTTAATGCATTTGCTGTTTGTAATGGTTGCTATCTATATTTGGCATTCTTATTCTAGGACTTATTTATTATGGTTTATTAAATTCAATTAGTATTCATTTTTCATAAATTTAATATTCCACTCTTAATTTAATTTGCTTTGATATTGTTAAATTCTTCCCAACTACGTGTAGATTTACTTAACCATCTTGTACATTCATGCTCACTGTAGGATGGACGTAAGATTCGAGTTGGTGATTGTGCACTTTTCAAGCCACCCCAGGATGCCCCTCCTTTTATTGGAATAATTCGTGGTTTAATATTCGATAAAGAAGAAAACCCAAGTTTTCAAGTGAATTGGCTTTACCGACCTGCTGATTTGAAGCTCGCTAAAGGGATTTTCCTGGAAGCTGCACCGAACGAAGTCTTCTACTCCTTTCACAAGGATGAAATTTCTGCTGCATCATTACTCCATCCGTGTAAAGTTGCATTCCTTCGTAAAGGTGTTGAACTTCCTTCAGGGATATCCGCATTTGTCTGTAGACGGGTGTATGACATTGTTTGCAACTGTCTATGGTGGTTAACTGATCAGGACTACCTTAATGTCAGTCTTCCTATATCATTAATTTTATGCCATTTAATTGTGTATAATTGTATTATTGATAAGATTCTGATCTTTCAATGGATTTAGAAACTACAGGAAGAAATTAACCAGCTATTAGAGAAGACAAAAATAGAAATGCATGGTGCAGTGCAGTCTGGAGGCCGTTCTCCAAAACCATTGAATGGTCCAACAACACAATCATTGAAATCTGGTTCTGATAGCATTCAAAATAGTTCTTTTGGTGTACAGAGTAAGGGAAAAAAGAGAGAACGGGGTGACCAAGGATCTGATTCAATCAAAAGGGAACGGTTATTTAAAGCAGAAGAAGGAGATTCTGGTCAATTTAGACCGGAGAGCATGTTAAAATCAGAGATTTCTAAAATTACTGATAAAGGTGGGCTAGTGGACTTAGAAGGAGTTGAAAAACTGGTACAGCTCATGCAACGTGAAAGTGGTGATAAAAAAATAGATTTGGCTGGGCGAGTAATGCTGGTCAATGTAATAGCAGTTACCGACCGGTATGACTGTCTTAGCTGGTTTGTACAGCTCAGGGGTTTGCCTGTGTTGGATGAATGGCTCCAGGAGGTTCATAAGGGCAAAATTGGTGATGGTAATATGCCTAAAGAATGTGATAAGCCCGTTGAAGATTTTCTGTTGGCTTTACTTCGTGCGTTGGATAAGCTTCCTGTGAATCTTAATGCACTACAGACCTGTAATGTTGGAAAGTCTGTTAATCATTTACGCTCTCACAAAAATGCTGAAATTCAGAGGAAAGCTCGGAGTTTAGTTGACACCTGGAAGAAACGGGTTGAGGCTGAAATGAAGATGACTGATTCACAATCTGGTTCAACCCATGGTGTTTCTTGGCCAGCCAAGCCAGCATCTTCTGAGGTTTCTCAGGTTGGAAATCGGAAAACAGGAGTCTCTTCTGAGAATGTTGCAAAGAGCTCTGCAATTCTACCCTCAGTATCTAAAACTCCCCAGGCAAAGCCTAACTCTGGAGAACTATTGTCCAAGTCTTCTGCATCTCCTGGCCTAGCTAAAGGGGTGACTACCTCAGCAGGCAGTAACTCAAAAGATCGAAAGTCAGATCTACCACTAGCTCCTATCAAGGAGGAAAGGAGTAGTGGTTCTAGTCACTCTCAAAGCAACAGCTTATCTTGTTCTAGTGAACATGCAAAAACTATTGGTTCTTGGAGTTCCACTGCCGTGTCAACGAGTGGTAAAATTCATGTTGGTGCATCTCGAAATCGGAAGTCAAGCAATGGTCTACATGGGGCTGGTCTTGCTGTACCTCAGAAGGAGCCCAGGTCTACAAAAATTTCAACTAGAAATTCTCCTTCTGAAAAAGTTTCATCAACTCAAATGTCCCATGAAAAATCACCTGATCAGCCCCTTGCCAATCAAGGGAATAGTCAGCGACTGGTTGTCAGATTACCAAACACTTGTAGAAGTCCTTCAAGGGGAGCTAGCGGGGGCACTTTTGAAGAACCTGCTATTTTGTGTGGCATAGCTTCACCACCCTCTGAAAAGAATGAGAGTCATGATAGAAGAGTGAAAGTTAAAACTGATAGTTTGCAAACCAATGTTGCATCTGTTGCTAATGGAGCTTTGACTGGTTTTGAGGAAGGTAAGGGCTCTCCGATTGGTGATGATCAGTGCATGGCTAGTGAAGATGGTGATAAAGTACCTGAAACATCGAAGCCAACTAGTTCTTCATCGGGATTTGTTTCCAGATCAGGGCAGATTTATGATGCTTCTTTAAGTCCCATGAATGCATTGGTTGAGAGCTGCGTGAAATTTTCAGAAGCTAGTGCTTCTACTTTCCCTGGTGATGATGGGATGAACCTACTTGCTACTGTGGCTGCAGGGGAGATATCTAGATCCAAAAATGTTTTACCAATGGCTTCACCTGAGAGGAAGTCTCCCGCAGCAGATGAATCAAGCTCTGGCAGTGATTGCAAAACAAAACATTCTGGTGGAGGAGTTGGTTGTACCCTCTCACAATCTGATGGGGGAGCTACTGGAGAACATTATTTGGAAACTGTTGACCCATCACAATTTAATAATGATTTGAGGCATCCTGTTTTGATGGTGTCGCACATTGGTTCTGGAGATGGTGAAGCCATGTCATCCAGTTGTGTTGAAAACACTGGTGATGGCAGAACTCAAATGAATTTGTCCACTACAGATTTGTTGCAGAATGCTGAAGGTCCATGCTTACTTCCCGAAATCAAAGAGGGTGCTTCTGGAACTACATTGCCAGCTATAAATGAGACTGATGTGGCTCCTGGAGGAGCAAACCTTATAAATGACCAGAAGGAATTCGGAAGTCAATGGGCTAAAGGCAGCAGTAGTTCAGACTCTAAATTAAAATCAAGAAATTCCTCTTTTGATGAAGATAAGAAAGATGATCAAGTGGATGAGAGAATCACAGAGAATGAAAAAATATTGGTTTCAAAGGAAGTGCCTGCGAGTGTAAATGTCGATAAGGAAGTAGATGAAAAATCATCTAAGTTATCATCAGATGTTGGTAATGAGAATCAGATTATTGCAGAGAAAATGAGAGTTACTGGCATACCAGTGCAAAAGCCCTCTCCACTTGCAGAAAATGGTGAGCCTATAAATTTGAAAGCGGAAGATGTTATGCTAGCTACTGTTTCTGGCAATGCTTCGATGGTATCCAGGGATGAAAATGGCGACGACTTGAAGTCAGATGAGATTGAGCCTGACAAAAAACCAATGGATCTAGACTCAGCTGTTTCAGTTGGCATTAATGGATGTGTTGAAGAGAATTTGGGTACAAAGGATGTTATTGGTCACTGTTCTGACTTATCAGGTCATCCCAAGTTGGCAACAATTCATGGGAAAGAGAATGAAGTCTCCAAAACATCAGAGTGTAACTTAGACGGAAATGAATCTGAGGCTGTACTTGAACGGCATGCATCCAATATTAATCCGCCCCTTACAGATTCTGGGTCTGATACTGCAGTAAAACTGGACTTTGATTTGAATGAGGGGTTTCCTGTAGATGATGTAAACCAAGGGGAGATTGTTAGACAGGAAGAAGCTACTACTCCATCTGCTGTTCTTGTCCCTTGTGCATTGCCTTTTCCCATGTCTTCCATGTCTGAGAGCTTGTATGCTTCAATTACAGCGTCATCTGCTGCCAAGGGGCCTGTTGTTCCGCCAGAAATCCCAATGTGGAATAAGGGGGAACTCGGATGGAAGGGATCAGCAGCTACAAGTGCATTCCGACCAGCTGAACCTAGGAAAAATGCAGAGGCACCATCAAATGCCGGTGTTATTCCTTCTGTTGATGCCACTCCTATCAAACAAGCCCGCCCCCTTTTAGATTTTGATTTAAATGTGGCAGATGAACTCAGTTTTGATGATGTAGCTTCCCGTGGTTCTTTAGAATCTGGGACACATGATCGCAGCTCAGTAGGATTTGATCTTGATTTAAACAGAGTTGATGAGGCTGCTGAAGCTGGGTCTTTCTCTATGGGCAAACTGGATATTCCTTCTTTATCTAGCAAGCCTTCATTGTCAGGTGGGATCTCTAATGGTGGAAGTGTCTCGAGAGACTTTGATTTGAATAATGGACCAGGCCTTGATGAAGTGGGCACCGAAGTCCCAGCTCGGTGTCAGCAGATTAAGAGTTCCATACCGTTTCCTCCTGCTGTTCATGGCTCAAGAACAAATAATCCTGAATATGGTAACTATTCTTCATGGTTTTCTCCAGCCAATTCTTATTCAGCAATTACTGTCCCACCTCTTCTGCCTGGCAGGGGGGATCAGAGTTATATTGCTGGTGCACAGCGGATCATGGTTCCTACAGGTAGCACACCATTTGGTACTGAATTCTACAGAGGGCCGGTGCTTTCATCCTCGCCTGCTGTTGCTTATCCACCTACTACACCCTTTCCGTATCCAGGATTTCCATTTGATACCAGTTTCCCATTATCTTCAAACTCCTTTTCTGGCTGTTCAACAGCATTTATGGATTCATCAACGGTGGGTGGACTTTGCTTCCCTACCATGCCTTCGCAGCCTGTTGGGCCAGGTGTTGTCTCATCCACATATCCCCGCCCATACGTAATGAGTCTCCTGGGTGGTACAAGTAATGTGATTCCTGACAGCAGAAAGTGGGGAAGTCAAAGTCTGGATCTTAATTCGGGCCCTGGTGGTGGTGCAGATACAGAGGGGAGAGACGATAGATTGCCTTCTGGATTGAGGCAAATGCATGTCCCCAATTCACATGCTTTGATGGAGGAACACATGAAGATGTTTCAGGCGGCAGGTGTATTGAAGAGAAAGGAACCTGATGGTGGTTGGGATGGAGCTGATAGATCCAGTTACAAACAACCCTCATTGCAATAGAAACCATGGCTCTTCAAAGCAAACATATTAAGAGGTCTGAATGTATTTTTGAGCACCTTGATTCCAAAAATATTTAAATTGCTTGTCTTTTAGAGCTGAAATGTTAGTTTGTTGACAGCTTTGTTTTGCAAGTCTTAACTATAGATCAGAGGTTTGCTTGGATAACGCTTACTCAATATAATTATTTTTTGAAATAAACTAAAATGAGTTCATTTTTCTTAGTTACTTTATATGAGCTATTTTGTTAAGTTTATTTTCATAACTTGTTCTCATTATAAGCCCAAATAAGCTCTTCCAAATGCTTCCTAAGTCCCCAATGCCATGCGTATGATGATCTTTTTATTACTTTTTGGGATTGAGTTTATTTAAATGTAATGTGGGGGAATGTAGTTCTTTTCTGATTCCATGGTTTGTGTGAGCCTGACTATTTCTCTTGCTTGCTCAATGGGACCGCTTTACGCTAAGCATATGTAATGGGAAGTCACATATGTTGTAATTTTCTTGTTATTGTTACTCTGTTATCCATGATCTATGCTTCAAACATTTGTCGTCTGTGCCGAGCCATTATGTTTTTACTTGTGTAGTATTGTATTGAAATCTTAAATGTTGTGTCACTGCAGTGGCTTTCTGTGCGAAATGTCAGATATACTGGGGATCTTATTTGAGTGTTATGCTGAGCCATGAACAATGAAGAGAGTTAGAGATGCTACAGTTGATTCTGATTCTATTAAAAACGGTCAGGGCGTCTGATGCAGTTGATGTTTTAGTGTATGTATCTGCTAGCACAGATAGTTTTATTGTGTAGATATCTAACTGAAACAGCAGTGTGGCCACTTAGAATCACAGGAATTGGCATCATGTGTTTTCATAGCGTCCTTCTCTGAAACAGCTTGCAAAAATGCACAATCCATTCTCCAACATTTGGAAGGAGGAGAGGATTGGATGTATGAACAAAATTGGCTTAGGCTTTGAGGCCAGTTTGTGTTCTTTATAAATCATTTTTTTCTCTTCAGCTCTTTGGTTACATTATATAGTTATTGATGCAGTCCTGACTTGTTTATTTATATATGCACAGACAGGTTAACCAGCCACAACGCCCCATGTTTTTTGACTTGCACTTCTCTCGCACATCGTTTTTATTATTACTCAGGATTCAAACTCCCAACTTTGTAAGTTAAGTTATATTCGTGGGCACAGCTTAATTACATACAACCTCGGATCAGGTAGACTTAGGACACTTAATGATGTCATCCGAGGGTGTTCCTCGGAACAACGGTATGTTTAGTAGTCAAGAGGTCACAAATTCAAATCTTGGAAAAAGTCTATTTGCTCGTGGAGGTAAGGTTGTGTATGTCTATCATCTCAAGTTTCGTTAGGTTGAAGCCTCGTGTACTACATCACCGCATTTATGTCACTTTCATCATATATGTAAACTGAGAAGGTTGCATGTAGATGTAGCCTTTAATATTGCTTGACCGTAGACATTTTGTAACCATAAGGTCCATGACCATATGCATCCACCACTTACACTCCTTAATATGAAGTACAAAAGGGTTGGGTATTGCTATGTGAAGTTAGGGTATCTAGGACGAAATATTCTGTACCTACTACTACTTTTCTCACCAATGATAAATAATCATTTCATTAAAAATTCTGATTAACTTATTTAAAATATCGTAACTTGTTTTTGAATGGAATTGAACTTTTTTTTAACAAATCTCGTTGGTATATATAATTTTTTTAACCCTAATATTGCTCACACGGTGCATGTAGCTTCAGAGCAAAAAAAAAGTATTTGGTTGGCTTGATTCTTTGCTTCTTTTGCCTTCCTTTAGTGGCTTTATCATAAGTATTATGCCATTTTGCTCTCATCTTTTATAATACCACCATTTTATCAAACACAACAAGGTTAAATCCCATTTGATCAAAGCGATTTAAAATTTATCATAACAATTTTACAATGCCACAAATTAGCTGAGTGTTCCAAACAAATTCTCCTCCACATTCACACCATACTAGGAACTTATATAGAAATTCACCATCATTCCAGATACCATTTCAAAAGACCTAAGGATAGATTTGATACAGTGAACATTGGCCATCATAGGCCTTTTGAAAGCCAACTTTTAGAATAGGACAATCCTTGCAAGGAAATAGCATGGAATTCACCAAGTTTCTGTGTGCATGTCATCTTAGGAATCAAGGTCACAACTTGAACCAACAAGGTGTTGGTCTAGTGGTATAAGGTATTGCTAGATTCCTAAAAAGATTAAAAGGTCAAACGTTTGATTTTTGGGAACGACACTTGTTGGGAGGGGTAACCACACACATCGAAAGAGATTAGTTACTTACCCAAAATAGTAAGGGAATACCCTTGGTAGTACCAAAATAATAATAATCCGAGAACCTGAAGTATTTAAGAGGTCAACAATTCAATAGTCATTCATCCTTCATGAAGAGTATGAGATGTAGGGATGATAATGAAAACTGAACCCGTGGATACTCGCTCGAATCCAACCCGAATTTGACAGGAAAACCCGATGTCTTTCGAAATTCGGGTTTGGTAGATTTCACACCCCATCCTGATCCCGATTGATATATGTAAAATTACAAAATTACATATAAATACATATATAAGACCTATATAAAGCTTCATAAATTTATATATTGTCATTACATCATTCACCATCCGTATTTAATCATTATTTATTCTTACATATAAATAATACAAATGAATAATGAATAATATACTAAATGTAGATAAATCTTTACACAGATAATGCATAAATATCATAGAATATTATAGTCTTATTTAATCCATATCCACTCTCCACATAGTGAGTTTAATGCTTAATTATTATCCTTAGTTGTTATATTCGGCTTAAGTGTTGGTGGAAGATAACACATCATGCACATAATGAATTCAATGCTTAGTTTTTATATTCGACTCAAGTGTTAGTGGAATTTTGATCAATTTTTTTGTGCGGATTGAAATAATATTTAAGCCTAGAAATAAAAGAAAACTACTTAACGGAAACAAATATATACAAAGACAATATTTTCTTTAAGTAAATATATAACATAATGAAGATACAATGCACTAAATGTAAAATAAAAAACAACAAGAATAGTTTAAGAGGGTCCAAATACAAACATATAAATAGGTCTAGTACATATAAATGAGAAGAGAAATAGATTAACAAAGTGGGAGTGACATTAATACAAGTAGATTAATGTGGAACACGAAGGTAAATAGGGATTGGGTTATGAGCATTAGGGGCTGAGTCCCAAACAGAAAAAGCACTTGAAGAGTTCATCCATTTATGTGTCATTTCAGGATAGTGACGATCAATTACATCTTTTAAGCTCTCTGTAGTGTTCACCCATTCCAACCCTTTCTTACTATATGACTCTTCATTGAAGTTGCTTGTGAAAAACCTATCTGCCTCTAGTCTCCTGCAAAATAGTGTAATATATAAAACCCTAATTTCAATCATGTTTACAAAAATACTTACTTAATAAACTCAACATTTGACCAACGGAACATTGATCTAATGATATAAGGCCTGGATCCTAAGATATAGTACTAGGTTAAAAACGTGAAAGTTCCATTCCTTAAGGGACGATTACGTACTCCAAAAGAGATTAATGATTAGTTTATTACCGATAAGGTGAATAAATTTTTACCTTGAGGCCATGAGCAAGAATATAACAAAAGCAGTTTCACTTATAGCAAAACCCTTAATCTTTTTCTCTGCCATTTGACCCACCAAAAGATCAAGCTCTTCAACATCATCACCATACACTTCTTCCAACACTTGAATAGCTTCCTTATCATCCGTTAGATCTTCCCATTTGGAAATGGGTATCAATAGTAATGCCCTTCTGAATTGGTTGTATTTGGCCACACTCCTCTCTCTATCCCTATAAACTGCATAATAATTTATACACAATAATGGGTTACATTTAGGAATGGTTTTAATTACACAATTATATAATAATATAAATGTATATTTTTGAAGTGGATGATGCACTTACTCCAAGAATAATTTTTTTAAAGTTAATTACTCTAGATCTTAGTCATCAATTCTAAGAAAATCCAATAGTTTAAATCTACTCACTAATTCAAACCATTGAATTTTCCTAGATCAGACCTAATGGTTTAGATCTACAGTAATTTTGTTCCTTTCAATATATCTATATATAAAATGGAAAATGATGTGAAGATTAAAGAAGGGTTGAGATTGAGTGATGATACTTTCAAGAGCAGGTAGGTCCACAAGATCAGGCCTTTCTGTTCCATCAACATTGTGTGGTATAATGT